CGTCCTACCCTGGGGGCGTGGCCTTATCAGTCCTCCTTCCTCCTCCTCCTCCTCCTCCTAGGGCGTGGTTCTATCAGACCTTCCCCCCTCCTCCTTCCTTCCTACTCCTCCTCCTCCTCCAGTGTTACGCTTTAACTTCCACACCCACAGTCACCGTCGTTCCTCAGTCGTCACTCACAAATAACACAGTTTTTCCCTCACCCGCGACCACCTGTACCTGGACCTCAGCTGGGTGTCTGTACGTCTGTTTCTCTGGATACATCCTCAAAAAAATATATCACAGCAGAATTTGTTTCCCTTAACTTATAATCATAACTGTTTCCTTTATATGATTCAACTGTTTCATTTAAACGTTAATAATCTGAAAATTATCATATCATAATATCACCCTAACTGTAAATATCACAAATTGGTTTATTTAAAGTCAAATTACATAAAAAAACAACATATCCAAAATGGCGCTAAGACTACACAGAGACTATACCTTCATTCACTATTATTTATACAATATTAACCATCATCATAGTAACCCCTCCCTTCCTCATTTCTTTTTTCTACAATTTTTTCATCCCGTTTTCTTTTTACTGTGTTGCTCCATCACCCCCCCTCCCCCATCACCCCTCCTCCACTACCCCCCTCCACTACCTCCACTACCCCTCCATCCCCACCGCCCCCAACTCATCGGATTTCTTCACTTTCTTTCCGATATTTTTGTCTTCTTCTCCAGCGACTCTGTAGTTCATTACCAGGAAGAATAATTTAACCTTTCTCCTACTGTCATCTTCCTGGTGTGTGTGTGTGTGTGTGTGTGTGTGTGTGTGTTTAGTTGGTTCAGGTGTGTGTGTGTGTGTGTGTGTGTGTGTTTGTTTGTTTAGTTCGTATTTAAGGTGTGTGATTGTTTCAGGTACTCATATTTTCTTATTTCCCATAGTAGCCCGACAGTGGCCCGACAACTCATTTCCGTAGGCCGTCAGTCTCCAGGTACAGTAGCCCGACAACCTAACATTAACATTTCTATTTCTATAACTCACGAATGATTTTATATTCTTGCCTATAATAATATCTATAACAATAAGCATAATAACATGACTTGGTATAATTTTCTACAATAAAAAAAATTGGAACTTTAATTCACAGATAAAATACTTCATAAAAATAAATTTATATCATATACAAATAAGTAAATATCTTCTTTTAAAAAATAAACAACATTCTCTAAGCTCTTATACAAAGTAAACAATTGAAATACATCACCAAACAAAACAAAAACTAAGAAAAATTTTCCCCAATCACTAATTAATTTATTCAAAGTTACTTCCATTACACATGACAATAAAACCTACATAAGCCATCAAATTCTCAACACCAGAAGAATCACCAAAAAATTTAATCACCATGAAATCCTCAATGACCAACCACTATTCTTTTTAATCCATCAAAGCAATACTGTACCTGACGCCAACCAGTTAGAGCCCCAGTTAGAGCCCTAGTTAGAGCCCTAGTTAGAGCCATCGTCACAGGGTAAAGGAAGATATAGTAAAATAAATGATACAAAATAAGGTTTTCCTGTGTAAGGGGGGAGAGGGGAAGGGTGGATGAGGCTGTTCCATCGTCCCTTGACATTATCCAGAGTTTGTAGGTCAGAGGAAGGGAGGGAGAGAGGAAGGGAGGGAGAGAGGAAGGAGAAAGAAGGAATGGATGAATGTATAGAGAGATGGAGGAACAAAGGGAGAGAAACGAGGGAAGGAAGGAAGGGAGAAAGAAAAAAGAAAGAGAGGGAAAGAAGGGAGTAAAAGGAAAGGAGGGAGGAGAGAAAGAGGGGAGGGAGGGAGAGAAGGAGGGAGTGAGGGAGAGAAGGAGGGGGAGGGGAGAGAAGGAGGGAGGAGGGAGAGAAGAAGGTGGTGGAGGGAGAGAAGGAGGGAGGGAGGGAGAGAAGGAGGGAGGAGGGAGAGAAGGAGGGAGGAGGGAGAGAAGAAGGAGAAGGAGAGAAGGAGGGAGGAGGGAGAGAAGGAGGGGAGGAGGGAGAGAAGGAGGGAGTGAGGGGAGAGAAGGAGGAGGGGAGGGAGAGAAGGAGGGAGGGAGGAGAGAAGGAGGGAGTGAGGGAGAAGGAGGGAGGAGGGAGAGAAGGAGGGAGTGGAGGAGAGAAGGAGGGAGGGAGGGGAGAGAAGGAGGGGAGGAGGGGAGAGAAGGGAGGGAGTGAGGGAGAGAAGGAGGGAGGGGAGGGGAGAGAAGGAGGGAGGGAGGGGAGAGAAGGAGAGGAGGGAGAGAAGGAGGGAGTGAGGGGAGAGAAGGAGGGAGGGAGGGGAGAAGGAGGGGAGGGAGGGAGAGAAGGAGGGAGGAGGGAGAGAAGGGAGGGAGGAGGGAGAGAAGGAGGGAGGAGGGAGAAGGAGGGGAGTGAGGGGAGAGAAGGAGGGAGGAGGGGAGGAGAGAAGGAGGGAGTGAGAGAGAAGGAGGGAGTGAGGGAGAGAAGGAGGGAGTGAGGGAGAGAAGGAGGGGGAGTGAGGAGAGAAGGAGGGGAGTGAGGAGAGAAGGAGGGAGGAGAGAGAGAAGGGAGGAGTGAGGGAGAGAAGGAGGGGAGGAGGGGAGAGAAGGGAGGGAGGAGGGAGAGAAGGAGGGAGGAGGGAGAGAAGGAGGGAGGGAGGGAGAGAAGAAGGAGTGAGGGAGAGAAGGAGGAGTGAGGGAGAGAAGTGTCTATTATAAATGGATGTAGGATTAATGTGAGGTGACTGGAGATGTGAGCTGTATGGGGAAGGTAAGGAACGTGAGGGGAGGGAGAGAGGGAGGGAGGAGGGGGGAGAGGGAGGGAGGGAGGGAGAGAAGGAGGGGAGGAAGGAGAGAAGGAGGGAGTGGAGGGGAGAGAAGGGAGGGAGGGAGGGAGAGAGGGAGGGGGGGAGGAGGGGAGAGAAGGAGGGAGGGAGGGGAGAGAAGGAGGGGAGGGAGGGGAGAGAAGGAGGGGAGGGGAGGGGAGAAGGAGGGAGGGGAGGGGAGAGAAGGAGGAGGAGGGAGAGAAGGAGGGAGGGAGGGAGAGAAGGAGGGAGGGGAGGGAGAGAAGGAGGGAGGGAGGGAGAGAAGGAGGGAGGGAGAGAAGGGGAGGGGAGGGAGGGAGAGGGGAGGGGAGGAGGGAGAGAAGGAGGGAGGAGGGAGAGGAGGGAGGGGAGGGAGAGAAGGAGGGGAGGAGGGGAGAGAAGGAGGGGAGTGAGGGGAGAGAAGGAGGGAGGGAGGGAGAGAAGGAGGAGGAGGAGAAGGAGGGGAGGGAGGGGAGAGAAGGAGGGAGGAGGGAGAGAAGGAGGGAGGGAGGGGAGAGAAGGAGGGAGGGGAGGGGAGAGAAGAGGAGGAGGGAGAGAAGGAGGAGGGAGGAGAGAAGGAGGGAGGGGAGGGAGAGAAGGAGGGAGGGGAGGGAGAGAAGGAGGGGAGGGAGGGAGAGAAGGGAGGGAGGAGGGAGAGAAGGAGGGGAGGGGAGGGAGAGAAGGAGGGGAGGGGAGGGAGAGAAGGAGGGAGGGAGGGGAGAGAAGGGAGGGAGGGAGGGAGAGAAGGAGGAGGGGAGGGAGAGAAGGAGGGAGGGGAGGGAGAGAGGGAGGGAGGAGGGAGAGAAGGAGGGAGTGAGGGAGAAGGAGGGGAGGAGGAGAGAAGGGAGGGGAGGGAGGGAGAGGGAGGGAGGGAGGGAGAAGAGGGAGGAGGGGAGAAGGAGGGAGGAGGAGAGAAGGAGGGAGAGGGAGAGAGAGGGGAGGGAGGGAGAGAAGGAGGAGGAGGGGAGAGAAGGAGGGAGTGAGGAGAGGGAGGGAGAGAAGGAGAGAGTGAGGGAGAGAAGGGGAGGAGGAGGGAGAAGGAGGAGTGAGAGAGAAGGAGAGAGGAGGAAAAGGAGGGAGGAGGAGAGAAATACCAAGAACTAATGGAGGAATGATTCAGAGACGGAAAGAAAGAGAGGGAGAGAGAGATAGAGTGAGTGACAGAGATAGATAGACAGAGGGAGACAGACAGACAGAGAAAGGGAAACAGAGAGAGTGATAGTGACAGTGTGTGAAAAAGAGAGAGAGAGAGAGAGAGAGAGAGAGAGAGAGAGAGAGAGAGAGAGAGAGAGAGAGAGAGAGAGAGAGAGAGAAAGTCAGTAAAATACAAAAGTTATAAAGAAAAACATCAAGAGTTCATTAAAATATCACCAGATACAACAAAAACAACAACAAAAACAACATCAACAATAACATAGACCAGACGAACACAGACGATTGAGACTGAACACCTGGTTAAAACACCTGTTATTCTATTCTTCAGACCACCACAACAACGTATAATCATTCACCTGTCTTAACCTAACTCACCTGTAATCAACCCCACATGCTACCTGTATCCACACCAAATACCTACTTTTACATTTTACTTTAATAAATATCTATCCATCCATCCCTGTACCTATCCTCTTGAAAATCTATTACGCCTATCCAATATTACTCAGTCACTCACCTATACCTACTTATCTCGTCACAGATCTTTTTCCATCAGCCTGGGAAAGGAAATGGCCACTGTATGACCTGCTACCGCTGCTATCATCCTCCCACACGTGTGCAAAGCCTCCGTGGAAAGCAAGTGAAGTCTGAGGCCTTACGTGTGGTGACAAAAATGGTTTAGTCCCAATGATTCTGTGTCGAGGAACGGTGAGGGGCACTTTGTTGGGTGGAGAGAGGAAGTGGGGTGTTTTAAAAGCACTTATGAACTCAGGAGAAGTGGGTGACAGGAACACAAGGTAGGGAGTTCAGGGGTGTGTGTGTGTGTGTGTGTCAGTGTTTGCAGGTATAGGGAGGAAGTTCAGGTGTGTGTCAGTGTTTGCAGGTATAGGGAGGAAGTTCAGGTGTGTGTCAGTGTTTGCAGGTATAGGGAGGAAGTTCAGGTGTGTGTCAGTGTTTCCAGGTAGGGAATTCAGGTGTGTTTCAAAGTTACAGGTAGGTTGTACAGGTGTGTTAGTGTTACAGGTAAATAATAGGATAAACAGCCTCAAGACCCCTCACCTGTATATGGGCTCCTTCTCGCCGTTGGTGTACCAGAGGACGACGAAGACCATATCGGAGGAGTCAAGAGCCCCCACCTCGCAGGGCAACACCGCCTCCCGCCCCGACACCGCCTCCACACGACGCCACACTCCTGCAGCAGATACTTAACTCTTACTTTGGGTTCACACAGATGAGAAAATAATAATAAGATTGATAAATATTAATAAAACTTGGAATGAGAATGGAAATAAATCATAAATATATTGCATTATAAGGGACATTACATTGCATTATTTACATAGTTTATTATATATATATTTACTAAACATAACGGCCATAGTATTAACGATCATTACAACAATAACACGAATCAATAATAAACAAACAAAAATATTTAATAACAATACTAAAATGAAATCCAATGACGTATTTTCTATCATCACAAATAATCTATCATTAGAATATTCAATCAAGATAAATTATAAAGGTAAAGCGACTCACCTAACCTTGCCACACAGGTGTTTAATTAACTGTTTATTTCAGGTGATTGTTTTGTGTTCCGTGGTGGAGGGAGTGTTGTGCATGCTAAGTCTGGACTGTGACTGACCCTGCGGACTGTGATTGAGGTGTAGCGAGGGGGGTTGTATGTTCCTAATCACTGAACGAGGTAGTTTAGAGAGTAGTTATCTCCTCCTAAATGGTCGTTCTTATTGTTGGTATATCTTACACCTTAAGTGATTTTGTCAATGTTATGATAAATGGTTAAATAATAATGGGTTACAGTACTAATGGGTCACAGTACTAATGGGTCACAGTACTAATGGGTCACAGTAATAATGGGTCACAGTAATAATGGGTTAGGCTAAGGATAATAATAACTTAAACCCTATTTAACTTTTAACCCTATTTTAAGGTATTTCCTATTATTAACTTATCAATTACACAGTATCTTTCCAATTTATTCTCTCTACTATTCTTATTTTCTTAGTACCGATGTCTCCTATGTCTCCTATCTCTCCTTCTCCTACCAGCACCTATAGCACCTGTCATCCGTACCTTCAAACAGACTGTCTCTCTTCCTGCCTTTGTTTACCTCTTGGTGAAATTGTCTTCAACTATCTTAGAATTATTTTATTTTCTTTCATCTCCCTTGAAAAGTTTTATTCATTTCATTCTTTTATTCGTGAATGTCAACTTTTTTTTCTTTTCTCGTTGACAAATTCCCAGATTCATGTTTTATTTGTGTTTTTGTTTTCAGTTTTCTTTGTTATATTTCTATTTTTCTTCGTTTTTTCGGTTTTTCTGTTGTTTTTTTCTTTTCCAGAGGTTTAGGGGATACTAAAATTTTTCTTTCTATGCATTTAATCTCACTATGTTTTTTGTATTATTTTATTTGAGTTTTTCTACGATAAACCGATTATTATCTCAATATTTTCTCATTTTATCTTTCTATTCATATATTCTTTCTGTCATATTTCTGTCTGTCTGTCTGTCTGTCTCCTCCACCTCACGTCAACACCTCCCCTGTGGAGTCCTTTATTGACACATTCCTCAAGCACCACCACCAAATCCTACCTTCATTTTACCTGTTAATGACAACACACACGCCATCTCATTCACCTGTATCTAAAGGTCTATTTTTAACACTCTATAATTCTCACTTTATCTTATACCTCAACCTTAGTCTTAATTACCTTGAGTTTGATGTTACCTGTGTGAGTTTGTAATTACTTTCTGGGTTGTCTGTCTGTCTGTCTGTCTATCTGTCTGTCTGTCTGTCTATCCGTCTGTCTGTCTGTCTGTATCATTTAAAACAAATACAAAAACTATTAAATTCCTCTTTTGTTGACAATAATAAAACCGACAGATTAAGACCAGCCATCGAACACTATTGCTTATATCCGTGTAATATTAGGTAAAGGTCAGAGAGATATAGTTCAACCACACAGCAGGCCCCCCACACACCCACCACCCCACACCCACCACCACACACCCCACCACCACACCACCACCCACACACCCACAGGCTAACCCTTCTGTTTTTTGGTAGTCACCCTCCCCTTCTCTCCTTTCAGGCTAGTCCGAGAGTGGGTTAATCTAACACCTCTGTCGTATAGTCTAACTCTTCCAGCTGGTTTTGTGTCTGGGAGGATCATAGTGTATGCATGACGTCCGGACTTCCAGAATAGTCCTCTGTGTGAATTCGTCTCCCTGAATGAACCTAGTGTTGGCTTCTCCCACTTGTTCCCATGGTGTCTTATAGGTCGGGGGCGTCACACATACACACACACACACACACACACACACACACACACACACACACACACACACACACACACACCTACAATAGTGACTTGAATATCACATAGGTAAACTTTCTTGTTCGTCTCTTATGCCACAATCAATGTTTCTTCTGTGTTGATGTTATGATTGTGTGTTTCGTGACCAACTCTAAACACGACACTGAAAAAAGGTACTAAACTTCATGTAGACTCAGCATATAGTGATATTTTACTACTACTATTAATACTACTATTGCTACTACTAATACTACTACTACTACTACTACTAAAGGTTAGACCACTTGCCTTGATAAACATTCAACCTTACAGTGATAACGAACACAAAATAAAACACAAAGACAAAGCGATACACAGTGCTAGAACTCTCTCCTCTCTCTCTCTCTCTCTCTCTCTCTCTCTCTCTCTCTCTTTATCTCCAACACGACTCACTATCAGAGCCCATGAAACCAGTGATAGGAAGAAAGATTTTGTGAAATGAAAACAGTCGTAGGATGCCAGGTTGAACCACGATGACCCCTGGTACGTGGTTAGCATGAACGTGGTTGAGTGGAGTCATGTTAGTCGTGTTTATCTCAGGGTAAAAGTCACTGCTAAGAGGAAAATAATCACAAGGTAGTTTTCAGCATCATAGTATTGTGTGTTTTAAAGGAGAGCTTATATAAGGGTTGTAACTTGTAGGGTCGTTGTCTTTATTGTGTTGTTGCTTTTTAATAACCGATGTTGTAAGTGTGTGTTGTGGTTTAGTAAAGATATTAGTCATCAATAATGTGTTCAGTAAGAAGTGATAGAGATATAGTCGTGATATGAAGACTTTGTGAAGAGGTATAGACTAGCTTGCATTTGTTTATGGTGTTTATAGTATAGAGTCATGAAGAAAAACAAAAAACGCATCGACTCGTGTTGACAAAATGCTCGAGACGATTAGGAACTCAAATTAAATGTTTTATTATCTATATAAATCGTAAAACAAAATAAAAATAAAAACCCTCACCTATTTCTGGATTAATTACACCTTCAGCGCCTTCTACAGTATAGAGTCGATTCTCCCTCGACTATAATTAAATTCAGGTTGTGGGTGGGAGGAATCTACGCTCTGGTGGTTAAGTTGCCAAGTTGTTGAAGAGTTTGGCATAGTTGGTTGAGTTAAGGTAGGGAATATAGGAACAATAGAGAGGTTATATAAGGTGAAATTAAGTCATTTTGAGTCAGGGACGATATATAGTAAGTCAAGGTATATAGTGTAAGTGCCGTTTGTGTCACTTATATAGGAAAATATATTAAAGTTTATAGTGAGAGAGAGAGAGAGAGAGTCCAAGAAAGATGAGTATGAGAGATAGATGATGATAAATGGAGGAGAGAAGAAGAAAATCACAAAATGTTGCCAAAAATAACAGAATATTATGTCAGGTTTAACACAGGAAGGCAGTCATGGGTGAAGCCTTTACTACCTACTGTAGCAGCGTCCCTCCTTCTCCCTTGGGAGGAGCCACCAGCCTGCTGGAGGTTTCCACCCCATCCTGTTTGGGCTTGAGTAATCCTCTGGCGTGTGTGGGTGTGTGTGTGTATGTGTGTGTGTGTGTGTGTGTGTGTGTGTGTGTGGGTGATATAGTACCCTGAAGAAAGTCAACAAAAGTACATCGTCACTTACCTGTCAAACACCATGATATAGTGTAAATACATATACCTTATATATATACATGCCACCGCATGGCAGGGTAAGTTTATATAGTGGGTCAACCAAGGGACTTCTACAACATTTATTAGAGACATTAGGAACGAGGGAGGAAGCAACTTACCGAAATCATCAAGAGCCAACACCCCGGCACCAGCGTTAACCAGACTAAGAAAATTCATCTGGTGAGTACGGCAAATCAACACAGTAATAAAGGTACATCCAAAGTTTGTGGTTCTCCAAGTTATTTCCTCCGTAATTTGGGTCGGGGCAGGGGCAGGGGCAGGACGAGGCAGGGTGGGGGGCAGGGGCAGGGCAGGCGGAACGGGCGGGCGGGGCGGGGCGGGTGGGGCAGGGGTGGGGTGGGGCGGGGCGGGGAGGGCGGGGCAGACTTTTAAGAATGGTTTCTCTGAGCGCATCGTTAGCCTGGATGACTACCTGAGTATACTTACACTACCATTACCAAGATCAGGAAGAACCTCACAAGAACCTTACTTTACACGTCTCAGTTTTACGTCAAACACTCAACTTTACCTGAATGACAAGTTCAGTTATAAGTGAGTGTGTCAGTGTGTACGTGTGTGTATCAGTGTGTACGTGTGTGTGTCAGTGTGTACGTGTGTGTGTCAGTGTGCACGTGTGTGTCAGTGTGTGCGTGTTGTGTGTGTGTACGTAGGTATCAGTGTGTACGTGTGTGTCAGTGTGTACGTGTGTCAGTGTGTACGTGAGTGTATCAGTGTGTACGTGTGTGTCAGTGTGTACGTGTGTGTGTCAGTGTGTACGTGAGTGTATCAGTGTGTACGTGTGTGTCAGTGTGTCGTGTGTACTGGTGTGGTCAGTGTGTACGTGGTGTATCAGTGTGTACGTGTGTCAGTGTGTGTGTGTGTCGAGTGTGTACGTGTGTGTCAGTGTGTATGTGAGTGTATCAGTGTGTACGTGTGTGTCAGTGTGTACGTGTGTGTGTCAGTGTGTACGTGTGTGTGTCAGTGTGTACGTGAGTGTATCAGTGCGTACGTGTGTGTGTTAGTAGTTGAGGTGATGACTGTCTAATGGGGTTCAATTTAAAGGGTATTACTCTAAATGGTCCTTAAATTTAATGGGTGCCAAGTCCTAATGGCTCCCTACTGTAAACCTAAGCCTTCGTAAATGGTCCTTAATTATTATAATCACCGCATT